GGAGACACCCAAGTTCACCATGTGCGTATTCTCGGATGGCCCTGTGGTCAGGGGCTAACTCCAGTACAGACTTGGGGTCACTCTCAGTCAGGCCTTAGCCATTGGAGACACTTTCCTGTTTAAGCAACCTTGTATCTGTAGTTGGCAACAGTAAATGTGTTTCAAAGGACACAATGTTTTAGATATTTAGGAAATTGTATTATCTAACATAAAGTGTCAATATTGAACATATTGGCACATTATAATTATTACAATATATACTACAGCAGTATTGAACATTTTTATGGTTAGGTTTACTTGGTTAAGTTTAAGAATCTGCCGTGACTTGAAGCGTGAGACAGGCAGTGTTCACTTTAAATACAGTATCACTCTTAATTATGTTGTGCTGACAAACATAACTGCTGCCTGGATTATGCTCACAGGCAATGTTTTTTTAAGTGCTGCTACATTTATGTACCACACCAGAGACACAAACAGGTGGTCGGAGTGGATGGTGGGCATACAAGTTGTCAGACTGTCACACCACCACGCCCTTTTCCCAGCCCAAGTGCTGTGTGTCTAAACATAACCATAAAACCCCTGTGGTCACTGGAGGTGAACAGTGAACCACAATAACAGATATTATGTCATAAAACAAATGCAAAATGTCATCATACATTATCCTCTAGAGTCCCTGCGTCCTCATATGAGGACCGCACAGCTTGGGTTTCCAAAGCTCAGGACTCTAGAGGTTAAATACTTTACTAGTGTGAATGCTACATATATTTAAAAGCAGTTTACCACCTGACATACTGAAGAACACCATACTACTGCACTGAAGTTACAATAAAGGAACATTTGCTTTGTCAGAAACAATGACGTAGGGGTTTTTAAATTACTTTTGCAATGTGTGAATATGTAGAGAAAAAAATCAGGTAAAAGAACAATCTGTATTTAGGGTAATATGGTAACATACACACATAAAAACTACTCACAAACACAATATTCCCTCTGACATTTTAAATGTTTTACACATTTTATGCCTTTTAAGCTCTTGTCTCCTGTTGTTATAGAAACAAACAACACTGATATTTAACATAACTCACTATTATAGACAGGTTTGTACTATAACTGGCAGAGCTGTTTCTATTATTCTGGATACCTCCTGTCTGCGTTTTGTGTTGACAAATGGTAGATTTGTGGGACTGTCTCATGCCAGACTTCCCACTGATAACCGGTCTCTTGTTATCTGTGCTGTGGGTCTGGGGGCAACTTCTCTGTCAGACACTTCCACTTCCTGTTCTCTCTGCTCTGACTCTGTGGCCTCATCAGTTGGGTAAACTGCAAACCTTTATGAATACACTATCAAGACAGTTTCTACTTCTCTCTGGAGGATATAATCAGCTTAAGATGGAGGGATTCCTCACGTTTAAACTCCTAATGTAAGAGTATGGATGATAAATCCAGGAATTTGTTTACAGGGACAGGATTAGCTGCAGACAGACTCATTGTGTCTGCTCAGCTGTTCAACTTAAGACTGCAAAAGCTGCTGAGCATCATGAGAGATGGATCTTAAGACTCATGCTCGTAGCCGTACTCTTCAATATGCCAACTTAAGAAAAAACAACCTTGTTTCCTATTCCTATAAAAATAAGATATTTCTATTCCCATAAAAAT